TGGGATGTGGGTGTCTTTTAGCATTGAAGGGAAGAGAAAGGGAATCGATATAGTTTGATTTATAGTGATCTTAACCAAATTCCTGTAAACTTTCCAAAAATCTTTCACAAAAAAAAAAAAAAACAGTAACGGTGCCAGTTCTAGGTCACACTGAAATCCTCCAAATGCTACTCCTGTATTAACTAGCCTAGTCCTCTATCACTATCAACCTTGTCCCCCACCCTTCCCTCCAAAATTAACCCAGTAACTGCACAACTTTCTGTAGACGAGAAATTCTTTTAGTCAAAATTCCAATTCAAAATGCAGATGGAGTCTCTCCTAGGTTTCTGAAAACGGAGGAGGGCAAATGGGCAAAGACTAAACAGTGGAAAACCTCAACCCCTAACATTATGGGCACTTGGATACAGATGAGAAGGAAAAGAGTAGGCAGGACTGCTTGGAGCAGAAGACCAGGGGAAGGATGGAGGCAGCAGTCAACTCCACACACACACAGAGCTGAGCCACCCCACCCTCCCACGCCATGCAGACAGCTGAGGTTACTTCATCCTCCCCACAAGCTGTGGCCTACACCTCATTTTCCTCACTTACATTTGCTCTGGTCTCCTCTGAACACTGAGGTGGTGAGAGAACTTGCCCCAAGGTTAAAGATGTACAATTAAAGAGCCACCAAAGCTTTCAGGCTGCTCTCTGGGCCCCAGGGTCACAACAACTATCACATCATGCACATCCACACCAAAATGAGCAAAGCAAACTCCTTCTAGTGAGGACAAAGGAACCACTGTTTCCTTAAACAGATAAAAATCTACTTCTGTATCAAAAAACAGTCCCTAAGACAGAACCACATTGCTGAAATTTAGAGCCTCTAAAATACTTTAAATCATCTAAATTAACATTTAAGTGGAAAAAATGTTTTTCAATGAGAAAGTTTCAAATTAAATGAATACGTATCACATTAATCTGAAGAGAAACATGTAAATCAAAGTGAGCACAAAAATCAGAACATGAAAGCCTATTACTAGCAACCTAACCACTCCAGTTTAGTTTCACTTAGCTGAACAAAGTACAAAAATAAACAGCAAAAATAAAAAATGATGACAAATGGCAAATAGCAGATGTTTTACTGTATTTATAACCAATATTGTTGCAGACCTAAGTACAATAGAGCATACCTGTTAGTTTCCCATGGAGACATTCCTTTAAGATAGTCTCAGTAAGCTGACTCAAAGTCTTTTGAAAATGAGAGACAAATGAGAGAAGTGAGCTCCACACAGAGCTGTCCTGGGTCAAACCTTGTTTCTGTCTCACACACCAAGGTGTGCCATGCTCTAAATTTTGGAGTCTAAAGGATCCAGAAGTCAGCTGGGCAGATACTAAAAGCAAAAGACCCAGTCAGGAAATTGGAGAGGAGCTGGGTGATTCTCTCCATTCTAGTCCCAGGCCCAGGCAACACATAGAGCTTCCCCATAAGAAGCTTGTCATAGAACAGCTATCTCCACTCTGAAAGAAGGCACATGATATTCCAATGCTTTCCCTCTTTCTTCTGGAGGTCCTTCCTACCACAATCTTAAGCTTTTCTCCTTCCATTTAATCTGTGTGGGTTTTTTTGGGGGGAGGGGGGCTTGTTCAAATATAGAGCAACATACTAATTGCATTTAATAAGAACAAGAAATAAGTGACCAAAACTATCTTCCATCAATTTTCTTTCTTACTAGGCTTGCTTTTTGCCTGTAGTCATTTTTGTTCCTATACTACAAGCTTTTCCGGTTCCCTCACTTCCCTTGCTGACTGGAATACCAAGACAGAGGAGCTCTGATGAGAACCTGACCCACAGCAATCTCACTAGAAGGTACTATCGTATCTGGGGCTGAAATTTTCTCTCATTCATCTTCCAAGTTTCCTCTGAATTTTATCAGGATCTTGGTACCTAGAAACCTTTAAGATTCCCCCACACACAAAGGGGGTAGAGCTTTAAGTTACAATTAATAGCAAGTCTTGGGCTCCCCATCCTTTTCTTGAGGGTGATCTAAAGATTAGTCCAGAGGACACAGATGTGTGGTCCTAAATGCACCTTTCCACCTGTTGATCACAGTCTTGCAGAGGCCTAATGAGTTGAGATGCATTACATTTATCACTTTCCCTAGATCCACTCAAATCCATCATTATGTCACAGCAAGAAGTTAGATTGATCTGACAGGATTTGCTCTTCCTTCACAAACCCATGTAAGTTATTACTGAGAATCCCACATTCTTCTAGCTGCTTGCTGATTGATTATCTGACGATCAGGTCAAGTATCTTCTCTGGAATCACAGTAAACCAACAGGTCTATAATTTCCAAGATCATTCGTATTCCCCCTCTTAAAGATAAGCAATGCCGCCTCTCTAAAGCAACAGCTAATGCTTAGTAAGAATGCACTTTAAGTGCCCTGGAATGACATCATAAGGGTTCACTGATTCTGGAGACAGTCTTTACTCAAATGCAGATCCTGGTAAACAGCACCAAGCTCTAACCCAGTGTGGGTCATGAAACCTTCATTCTAGACCAGTGGTGGTAGTGCACACCTTTAATCCCAGCACTCAGGCAAACAAATCACTGAGTTCAAGGCCAGCCTTATCTAAAAATCAAGTTCCAGGACAGCCAGGGCTACACAGAGAAACCCTGTCTGGGGGGGGGGGGGGGGGGGCGCAACACCTTTGAGCCTAAGTCTGGGAAGCAAGTTGGTAACATAGGGATTTAAATCCCTACTATAATATCTTCAGCATGACCATATACAGACAGGCAAGAAGACAGACAGATGATCACGCCCTTGAAAGAGAGGTAAAAGATGACACTGACAAGCAAACTGAGACATGAATCAGGTTCCACCCGCAAGAACTTGGCAAGATCTTCTGCAGGAAAAGCAAACAGATATGCAACTATCTGAGCTTACAATCCAAGTGGAAAACTAGGAAGCACATACACATAAGCATGGTCCAGGAAGCAGCAAATGCAGTAATGGAAGGACCAAGCACTTATGGAGATTCAGAAGAGATAAAGACGAATCACATGTAATAGAGGTGTGCTGGATCTAGAGTCATGGTCCACTAGGGCTTACTAAGGAGCTGAAAAGTATTAGGGAAATAATATGGAGCACTAGAATATGGATCCTGGATTCTCAATTCAGAAGACTCCACAACCAGAATTCCCAACCAACCACCCATGTCCACTGGCAGCAGCAGGAGGCAGAAAAGAAGTGGAGCTTGGGAGCAGCTCCCAGCAACGTCCCCTTTCATCTAAAGTCTCTTCCCTAGGACACAGTCCTTGTCTAAGCAGGCCTGATTCCAGTACTCCAGAGGCAAGCCTTGAGCAGGAAAGAGAAAGGGAAAGGCGTGTAGCGTCTGCAACAGGTAAAACCACCTACCATTCTACAGGCATACCCCTCTAGAAAAAGCTGACCATAAGAAATGAAACCAATTTCTCTTTCTGTGGTCCTGCATCCCAAGTCCCAATGTTGAGGTCTTCTCCCCTCTGGTCTCCTAATGAAAGCTATTCTCACCAAAGCAACAGGTCTGTGCATCCCAAAATTACACACTGGAACCTAAGCACTGTAGGAGGAGCTGCCATCCTAGAGCCACCCACAACTAAATCTCCACACTACAATGAACTATGGCATCCAACCATTCATCAAACACCCGGCACAGCTACCTCTCTACTGCTAATCCAAGCTTCCTGGTAGCAGTGCCTTACAAGATAAAAGGTCTTTGTATCCAGTTGGTAACTAAGGAAGAAAAGCAAGAAATTTTCCTTTCCAACAGACTGGCAGTGACACCTATTCAGGTTATCTAGTGCCACATAACAAATTATACTAAACCAGGGATGGAAGTATACACCTGTAATCCCACCACTTGGTGGGCTGAGACAAAAGGATGGCAAGTTCAAAGCCAGCCTGGGCTACAAAATGAGTTCAAGGATATCCTGGACAACACAGTGAAACACTTTATAAAAGAAAAGCAAACAAAAAAATCCCAAAATGCATGACTTAAAGCATTAAGAATCAATTGTTCAGCCAGACAGTGGTGACACATGCCTTTAATCCCAGTACTCGGGAGGCAAAGGCTGGCAGATGGATCTTTGTGAGTTCAAGGCCAGTCTGGTCTACAGAGCGAGTTCCGGGACAGGCTCAAAGCTACACAGAGAAACCCTGTCTTGAAAACACCAAAAAAAAAAAAAAATCAACTGTTCAAGCTAGGCAGTGGAGGTGGCGCACAACTTTAGCCCCAGAACTCAGGAGGCAAAGGCAGGTAGATCTCTGAGTTTGAGGCAGCCTGCTCTACATAGCAAGTTCCAGGATAACCAGAGCTACACAGAGAAAAATCAAAAAGAAAGAAAGAAAAGGAATCAGACATTCTCTGTCACAGTTCCTGTAAGTCAGGAGTGTGGCAGGTGCTGGGCTGGCAAATTTCACTTCCAAGATAGCTCACTAAAATGACTGGCAAGCTAGTGCTAGCTGTTAGATTACAGCTGTTTTTACACATGTGTCTCTGCAATACCGTTTGAGTGTCCTCATAGTGTGACAACTGGATTCTGCCAGTGTTTCTTCTAACCTAGCCTGTGACCTTAGTCACACACTGTCTTTCCTACTACATTGCATTGGAGACAGGGTTATCTATGAGTCAGTGTAGAAGTGTTAACACCAGGAGGGAAGGTCGTCTCAGGAGCTGAGTACCACAGACAGCACTCCCTCAAAAACCACAGAATCCAAGGAGAAGAGGAAGTCTGGGAAAGAATTCTTTTTATTTCCCAAAGCTGAGACTAGGGAGAAACAATGTATCCACTGTTCCACAGACTTCACAGTTCTGCCTTGCCCTGGTACACTTTAACCAACCTGCCTCGAAGGCAAGCACCTCAAAGAATTAAACTAAAAGTCAGAAGATGGGAGAAAACTCTGGTCCCAGGAAGCAAGACTCTCCTCCCTCCCTGTTGCCCACCCAACCTTTTCTGAAGCAATGATACAACAGTTACCTGAGGATGAATCTGTGGCTTGTCGCACGTGGCCTCAAAGTCCAGCACTAAAAAGTAGTGATACCTCTGGGGAGGGAAGGGCACCATTGCCGCCATTGACGCGCCAAAGCCGTGGGCCGCCAGCTTTCTGGTGGATATGGAACAGAACTCCGGAACACCACAGGGAGAAAATAAGTGGGAACCCAGCACTTTTCTTGCTCTTGAAAGTAAATACGAAGAAAATCGAGCTGCTCCAGTCTGTAAAGGTGCTAGCATTGAGCATCCAGAGGCATCTAAAACTTAGGGGGAGGAAAGTTAAAAGAAAAAAAAACAAAAAACAAACAAAACAAAACAGAGCCTGGGTTACTCCCCTCCCACTGTGGCCCAGTTCCATCCAGTCATCAGGAATATCCATGCAACCTGAGCCACACCCCACGGTTTCCTGGCCCATTTTCTGAATCACAGTTTTTGTTACTAAAGTTTAAGACCCTAACACCAGCACCTGCAGTGTTATTACTACAACTCTGTCTCCCAGATCTTTCTCAAAGCAACACACAAAACTGGCTTCATTTGTAAACAGAGCACTAGTTCAAAAGAGAGCAATGAGAGGCCTTCTGCAGTCACTTCTCAGGTGGCAATAGTTAACTTTAAAGCAAAGGGTTCCAAAGCAATTTGAGGTGAGCAACTGCACTGAGTCCTAGAAGCAGACTCACTTTCCTGGATGCTCTCTTCAGCTCTCTTCCTCATCATTCACCCGTATCTCACCTACCTGTAACTTGACATCTCCACATACCCTCTACCTTCTCCCAGCAAGAAAGTATGAAAGCCAACAAAGCCAATCCCAGGGTATTTTGCTCATCACGTTCTGATGATTCCCAACCTCCACACTGGTAAGTAGCACCCTGGGGGAACTGGAAAGTACAGCTGGCAACAGCCTCAGGCTTCTTCCTCATTTGCTGCCTTGGGCCTCACTCTCTGCTAGAGGCCCAGGATGACTGTGAGGCCTTTTAAATAGGAAAGGGGAAGAGAAAACCCAGATGTGGCAGTAATAGGAACATTTCTAAAAGTCTAGTAAAATTTTCTGAGGGAACATGTGCAAGGGGAAAAAAAAGCCTGAATCATTTTTCCTTTACATTTTCCCTTTAAATTCACACAATATCTACTCTCCTCTAAGGGCTAACTAAATATAAAAAATCAAAGCCTAAGTTTTACTCACAAATAACCTGATCTGAAAGAAGGAAACAAGGCAGAAATACAGGACCGTGTCCTTCCCCACATTAGACCCAATACTCAAATGTCCCCCAACTTTAATTCTCAAGAGATCTTACCATTTAATATAACACATTGCACTCAGTTTATGCTTCCTGATACCAAAGGCTTGCCTCTGACTAGCTATAAATAGACCATACAGGGTAGGAGGACAGCACCCTGAGAAGTATGGTGCACACTCGGGAACAATGAGGTCACTATCACCTGAACAAAAAAGTACAATGCCAAGTATGACTTCTCAGCTTTCCCCTGACTCACTGAAAAACTATAATCACTTGCCTGTGTAACTATTAGGATACACACTAGCATGGGTCCTTGGCTTCTGTATCTAAACATGAAATATCATGAGGATTGTGTGAAGACTAAAAAAGCATCTTCACGGATCTTAATACAATCACAGTACTTGATTTTATCATTGCTTTACAGTCTTCCCCAAAACTTCTAGTCCAGGGAGACAAAGGCAAGCTTGAGCTTCACTATGTAATCTCTTGTAAAAGAACCAACAACCCTTTGAAAGCCAGAATCCAAAATAAACCTAGTCTCTCACTCACTCCTCAACAGTACTGGGAAAACAAGTGACAAGATGATAATGGCTTCATTTCCCATTCTAGTTTAGATGCGAAGTCCTTCTGGATCTTAGACTTCTTCTAACCAACTAAGCCAGGAAGAAAGACTTTTGAAACTCTTAATGTGTCTATAGTATACACAGTATATAAATCAACTAGACTCTGCCCGCCAATACCACAGGCAATAGTCTTGACTAACAAGGAGTTTCTGTTTGTGATCTGACTTCAGCACCATAGGCATGCTCTGTTCTTCAATTCCCTGCCTGTAAAGTAACAATAACAGTATCTACTTTGAAGGTGAGAATGAAACAAGAACAGAGGTAAAACATCAAGAGCAGTGTCTAGCACACAAAGGCTCAGAAAGTGTCAGCTCATTAGCATTGCTACAACCATGAAGCTGGCTCTTCCCTCAGATAATAGCGTTATCTTCTACATCCCTATAAGTGTCCAGGCCGCCCAAAGGGCACAGTATATATACCCTACCTCCTCCCTTGGAAAACACACTGATAGCTAGAAGACCTCCAATCTTACAGGCTTTGTTTTCTCATTTGATTTTTATCCACATCAAGAAGGACCACTTGAAAGAAGTCTTAAGTCTTAGGAATAGATTGGAGAGATAGCCGCTCTTCCAGAGCACCTGAGTTTGTTTGTTTTTTGTTTTTGTTTTTCAAGACAGGGTTTCTCTGTATTGTTTTGGAGGCTGTTCTAGAACTCGCTCTGTAGACCTGAGTTTGATTCCCAGCATCCACATGGTGTCTCACAAGCATCTGTACCTCCAGTCCCAGGGCACTGGATGCCCTCTTCTGGCCTCTGCAGACACTGCATGCACACAGTACACAGACATACATGCAGGCAGGCAAAACACCCACATGTGTAAACATAATGAAATAGACTTGGGTCCTAAACTGCCCTCTTAACAACCAAATTCAGATCAAGTCAAAGAACAGAGGGTAATGTTTCCTCTTCCCTTCGTAAAAAACTCAATTTGAAAACCTTTAAAAATGTAACAAAGAAAAATCTTTATCAGTTGGAATTGGGAGAAACAGAGGGGTCTAAATGAAGGCTAAGAGCCAAGGCAGATGAGAAGAGCATCCACACAGAGGTAGCAAGGTGCACTGCATCATGTCAGAGCCAAGGGCAGGCACAAAGAGCATTCATGCCAAAAGGAACTTAATGAGACTAATAGACAAGATAAAAAGATCACTCCTGAGCAAGGGGTAAAGGGCCTGAAACAACAGAATAGTTACATACAAAAAGGATAAGCAAAGTGAATATATTAAGGATAATGTTTCTCACCACTGAAAAAAACAACAACAAAAACTGTTGTGTTTTAGAACTGGCAGTAAGAATCTGAATTCCTAATTTCTGGTATAGATGGACATGGATATATAAATGTAAATATAAATAAAAGTATAACAGTCAGGTGATGGTGGTGCACACCTTTAAACCCAGCTCTCGGGAGGCAGAGGCAGGTGGATCTCTGTGAGTTCAAGGCCAGCCTGGTGTATAGAGTGAGTTCCAGGACAGCTGGGACTATACAGAGAAACCCTGTCTCTAAAAAACAAAAGTATGATTACACACACAAAAATAGATATAAATTCACACTCTCGCACTGACTAAGGATGGGCTAACAGCAGTGAGCATACCTACCACACTAGTGCCTTCCAAATACCACACTGTCCACAAAATGAACCAGAGCTCCTTGGAGAAACAACAAGAAAACCTAAGATATCCTACAAGAAAGGAAAGGAATATTCAAAGAATAACAGAAACATCAAAGGGACTCAAAAGCCACATTGAGAGGATACCTGCTGGTCAAAAGAGTGATGGTGAAGGATTATAATGCAATGAATAACCAGGAAAACATGAGTCCATAAAGATGTAATAAATACAACTAAAATCTATGGAGGTATATAAAGACGGTTTCAATATATTTCTCCATAGAACCCTTACAGTTACAGTAAGAAGTAATTCTGTAATGGACAGGATGAGCAGACATCACCTTACACAACCAGTCAAAAATAAGCATCATTACTAGATGTGATGGCATGCACCTTTAATCCCAGCACTCAGGAGGCTGAGACAGGAATGAATATAAGACCAGTGAGTGAGATCCAGGTCAGCCAGGGTTACATGGAGACTCTGCCCGCCCCCCTCCAAGGCATTAATAATGAGATAAGTCAAAATCACATGCCAAAATCACATGCCACTTGACAAGATGTAATGAGAACAAAGGATCATTTCTGATATCCTGCTGAAGAGGCATAATATGAGCTCAACTATAAGAAAGTTATCAAACAAACCCTAACAGAGGAACAATACACAAAATAACCAGCCCATAATCTTCAAAAGTATCAAAGTCATGAGCGTCAAGGAAAATGTACTGAGGAAATCTAAAAAGACTACAAGCTCGATAACTAAATGCCAACCAGTAATCAACCATACCCTTTTGCTACAAAAAATATTTCTGGGACAATCAACAAAACTTGAATGAACTAGATAGAAGTTAACATATCAATGTTAATCATCTGATTTTGATAGTTATATTGTAGTTGAGTAAGAAAAGGGCCTGCTTGTAGAAAATACACATCAAACCAGGTGATGGTGGCGCACGTCTTTAATCCCAGCCCTTGAGAGGCAGAGGCAGGTGGATATCTGTGAATTTGAAACCAGCCAGGTCTACAAGAGCTAGTTCCAGGACAGGCTCCAAACCTACACAGAGAAACCCTGTCTCAAGAGAAAAGAAAAGAAAAGGATAAGACACAATACAACACATCAAGTATCCTTAATAATGGGACATCAGTTCAGGACCTTAACTCTCAAATGCTTCAGAAAAGAAATCTTTGTATTGCACTTCCAGTTTGTATGTAAATTTGGTTTGTACTTTTAAAAATCCACCTGTAGACCAGGTGCCTTAGTTCGGGGCCAGTCTGGTCTACAGCGTGAGTTCCAAGACAGTCAGGGCTACACAGAGAAATCCTGTCTCAAAACCAAATAAATAAATAAATAAATAAATAAATAAATAAATAAATAAATAAATAAAACCCAGGTATAAGGCTGAGAGTGTAGCTCTGTGGTAGGGTACTTGCCTCCTATGCATGAGGCCTTGGTTCAATCCCCAACACAGTAAGTTAAACAAATAAAATCCATGTGCAATGTACTTTTTTGTTTTTGGTTTTTTTTTGTTTGTTTGGTTGGTTTTTTTGTTGTTGTTGTTGTTGTTTGGTTTTTGGTTTTTCGAAACAGGGTTTCTCTGTATTGTTTTGAATGCTGTCCTGGAACTCACTCTGTAGACCAGACTGGCCTTGAACTCACAGGGATCCACCTGCTTCTGCCTCCCGAGTGCTGGGATTAAAGGCGTACGCCATCAATGCCCGGCTTGCAATGTAGTTTTAAAAACAAAACAGGCTATGAGGGAGAGATCTTCTCATGGTGCCTACAGTAGGTAGGCTACACAGTCTCCT